ACAGTCTGGAAGGTCTATCATGCTAAGAGCCTGTGTATGGTTATACCAGAAAGTCTCCCAGCCATACCAAACTGTAATACAGATTATTTTTTTTTTGGGGGGGGGGGAAGGGACATGATAAGAACAGCAGGTGAGGAATGGGTACAAAATCCCACTGTAGTCACTGTGGCTGAGCACAGAGAGCAACAGACAACAAAATCTCTCACTTGGTGTCATGGATGGGCACAACAGATGAGCACAAGGAACCTGAATTCAGAGGACCAGCAGCATTAAAGCAAATGAAAAACATTTCGTTAGTCTGTTAAAGCCAAAGGAATAAGGTATTGCTCCCAGCCTAGGTGAAAATGATAGGGCTGACAGTAACTAAACAGAGTTGGAGAAAGCATTTCAGTCAGTATTCCTATTCTCTATTTGGCAAAGTAGACTGTGCAGATGCTTCTCAGGTGGCGGTGAAATCGTTCTTGAGTCAGAAGTAACTCAAAAACCTACTTGAGAGCAATTGCAGAGAATAAATAAAATCATCAGATCTGAACAACTAACATTCCAGGTTTTCAAAAGATCTGGCCAAGAAAACAGTCAAGCTGTTCAGCCTGATTTTAAGCAAGTCTAAGATAAATCAGTTACTGCAGTACTGCTTCTGAGTTGAAGCAACAGAATACTAGGAAATAAGTCAGTAAGAATTAAGACAGGAATATGTAAATAGCATCAATATATAATAGAGTGGAAGTCTTGATAAAAATAATTGTTCCTATCTGTTAATGATGAATTGAGAAGTCAAGAAACTGCTATTTCTTGTTAAGAAATAAAATCTCAAGCAGTATCCATCTTAAGTATACTGCAAGGTGGATCCCCATTTACAGGACCATGAGTGCTACTCTACTTCAAGGGAGTACTGACTGAAGACTATATGGAAATCACAGTGGTTTGTGAGCACACTGTGAAGCTGGGGTGGCAAATTCATGTCATTGCATGAAGGAACAGTAGACATTTTTTGGACAAGCAGAAAAATACTGTGTAGAATTAGAAAATTTTTGCTGAAAGGGGTTTAGAGAAAAGCCCTTTGCTCTTTAACGGTGGCTAAAATTATTCATCAAATTTGGCAAATATTTTTAGTTAACTGAGTTGAAGTTTGAGTGAGAAGGACAAGAAAAAAAAAAATCACTCTAAGTCAAAATGTCACGCGTTGATATTTTCAAAATGGAAATGTTTTTTTTCCAAGCTAACACTTATGTTTCAAAAGTAAGCTATGGTTAAAAGCATTGGCTAGTAGGAAAATTCAATAAAACATTGTCTTTTAGATAAAATTAAACATTTCAGTTAATCCAAAACTATTTTCCACCCAATTTCTCAGTTTTTCATGAAAAGAAAATCCATTATTTGCAACATTTCCATACACACCAACTGACTGTAACTAAAATCTGGGGAATATACTTAAAGAAAGCCCTGAAAAAAATGGATTAACTTCTGCCAAGATCCATGGAATTGTTTAAAGGACAAGGAAGCATTCTCTATAAGTCCATTTAGACAAGGAAAGCTGAGGAGGAAACTTACTGCTGTCTATATATTTATATCTACATGATCTAGTTAACAAAAAGTATAACAATCTACTCTCTAGAATTTGAAATCGTGCAAGTTCTGACCATAATTACAGCCTATACTGTTAAGAGTGGGGTTAGTTAAACTTTAGAGTGACTTACAAACATTGTGTTCAGTCTTATCATCAGGAACTTTCAGTATTACAATTCAACATTTTTTTCTAAAAAATAACCTTTACCAATGAAACAAACAGGATTGTTGATGAAGGTATGTTTAAGGGAATCAGCCTTAGACCTATTTAAGATCAGATACATGCTCTTTCCCACCAGCTTGGTCACTTGTATGGGGTGTCACTTGAGCAGCAGTTCCCAAAAATCCAACAAGCCCTGAAGCAAAGGGTCTGCAAGAAAAGGGAGTTTAATCTAATCAGAGACAGCATGACATAGATGCCCTCGTGTGTGGATGAAGGCACTGAAGGAATACAGTGTTTCAAAGCAAAAAGTTGTTGCTTAATAGAAGTAGCTGGGAGGATGAGCATTGCTCTTGAAGCATGGAAAAATCTTGTTATTTCTACCTGTACCACCCTGTCCTGCAGGTGAAAATAACATGAGACCATCTCTTGAGGTTTAATCCCAGCCAGGCAGCTCTGTTGTTCGTGGCACCTGCTGCGCATTGCCTGAGCACACAATACACGTGTGTGCACTGTGGGTGCTGCACCGGGCAGCTGCCACGCTCCTGAGTGTGAGTCAAGGTTCACTATGCCTGCTCAGACCAGGAGGGACAAGACTCAGACCACACCATGTTTTCCAAGGGCCATCACGATAGCAGAGGCACCACTGCATGAGTCGCTTCCTACATACCTGAGCCAAAATCCAAGCATACAAGTACATGGTGTTTTCCAAAAGCCACAAGACTATGATCAGTCTTTCTTGGCTTGCATGAACCGTGGTGCAGCTAAAGCAAAAACCAATTTAAAGCAACCAACAATCTGGCCACTTCATTTCTGAGGTATTGCTAAGTTAAAGAGAATTTGGATGTAGCAAAATCCTTGATCCCAAATGTCCCAATTTTAAGGAAAGCTTTAAGCCAAACATGTACTTTACAGCTAACTCCTGTCATCTTATAAGGTCAGACCAAAAGCTTGGCACTGAATGCCCTGCTCCACCTCTAACAGAGCACAAAACCAAAGACTTTTTTCTACAAGAAATGCTAATGCAATACAGAGGGTGTGATTTTAATTGCACTCTCCTTTGAAAGTGATGAAAATTTTACCAGCTCCAAGGATACATTTATTTAGCCACATACTCAAACCACTGCCAGTACACCGAGCTCTGCTGTCTTGAAGATCCAGGAATGTTAAATGCAATAATCATATGTTAAAGTTTGAAACTAAATGCAAAAGAGTCAGGAAATTCCAAAATTAAGTTATCTACCACAGCCGTAACTCAGCCCTGATAGATAGCTTTCTTTTATCACTTGATTGCAGTTACAGATTTACAACTGAAGATGTGGCCAGGCAACAGTGTCAGTGGGAGGTTTTGCTAAGGAACATCCTGGATTTTGTGCATTTCTAATCTCACTCTTAACATGGCATTAATGTGTTTGCACTTAACAGCTCTATGCTTCAGGGTTTTCTTCCAGCATAACCTAGGCCAGAAATGATCTACGAGTGTTGCCAAAGGACAGGACAACACTAACACAGCTGACAGAACACAGCTTCTCAAGCCAGTTCAAGGTATTCGAGCTCCATCGTGTGGAGTGTGCCTGCACATACCATCCGGCTTTCTAATAAGCCTCTTAAAAAAAAAGTAGGAGTAGCACAGAGACACTACAACCAAAGAAACCTTTGACAGAAATAAGATTCAGACTGCTCCTTGCTGACGAGCAAAACGTAAACCTTGTGACAGGGCTGAGTTCGCTAGAGCCCTGGGACAGCAGCACAGAAGGGCTGCGGCTCATTGCAGGGCACACCCCAGCCATGCTGGTTGTTCACAAGGATCGAGATGAGCTCACTGCAATACGATTAGACTACTTCACACTGGCAATTGCTGCATTGATCACGGAAATATTATCAAATTAAATAGCTCACGAGTCTGTATGTTTTGTAACCTTTCTCATTCTGCTATTCTGCTTATTCTGGAGTTCTGAGATGCACGCCCTGACTCTGCCTGCTGCATACAGTGTGACCTCTTCTGGAAATCATTTTGCAGTTTGAGTTAAATGAGCGAGAAAGTTTCACATCTGAATTATCCCATTTCTCACATCCTTTTAGGCTGTAGGCTCCACTTTGAAAGCACCTTTGTGTCAAATTTAGCCCAGAGGACCCTTATCTTGCTGGCTCCCTGGGATGTGCTCGAAGAGCTATATACAAAGCAAAAAACAACAACAAAAAAGATCGTTTTGAGATAGGCAAAAGCTTGTGCATTTCTGGAAGCAAAAGCATGGATGGCCTCTGGGGTTCATAAAAGGTTTTGTGAAAGGGAGCATTTCTTGTCATGGAAACACGTATACATTTATATTTATAGAATGTATATAAAATATACAGATCCTGTTTTCATTTTTTTAAATTAGAAAACTAGAATTCCTACAGGCCAGTGAAAAATATTTTGTTACAAGAAAGCAGAGCAGCTGTCATGGTGTGAAGGACTTGGTGAAGTGGGCAAGGAGAAATTTCTGACATCAGAAAACTCCTCAGCCAAGCAAAAAGTGTCCAAAGCTGCCAAGAGAGAGGCTCAAGCCAGAAATCAGACAGTTTTTATTTTTTAATTGCTATTTTTGGTGACTTCTCTCTACCACTTCATTCCCAAATCAAGACCAAGAGACTATCCCACAAGGGCCAAAGCAGTGCAAAAATAACCTGTCAGCAGATGTTGGACTAACACTGTGCAGTCATATTAGCTAAGCACTGTAGCCCCTTCTGGCCCTACAAACAATTAGGGAACCTATTTATCCACATTACAGATTACAAAAACCTCTTTGGCAGTTCTCCAAAATGACACCACTCTTTAATTGGAAGGCATTTACAAGAGATAAGGATTGAAAAGAGGACTCCTACAGTCATGACTCAGCCCCAATCACCAATACAGGGATGTTGCACTCACTGCACTTTGTCTCCCCCGAGCCCAGATCCCCACTTTGCGGTGTGTATTTGTTGGGTGACCTGGCTTAAAATGGATAGCACTTTTTTCCCCTCCCTTTTCACTCTTGAAAATTAAGAGCTGCTAGACTGACATGTTATCAGACTGCAATTGCAATTCAAGATGTACGGGCAAAAACCACCAAAAAACGCCTTAAATCTGGGATGCAGGAAGCTCACCTCCTTTTCTGATGTCCTGAGCGTCTATCTTCTCCATCTGAAGGCACTGAAAAAAAAAAAGCGCTCGCCTGCCCTCTTCCCACCAAGACTTAACTTCGTTCATTCAGAGACAGGAGCAAGAGGACTGCAGGCACTCTGCACAGTTTACCTTTAGCGGTCGCCGTCTCTCCATCAGGGTGAGCCATGCGCTGCATAGCGGTTGCCGCAACGCAGACCGGCATGCTGATCTTCTGCCCCAAGACTGAGGTTGACAGGTCCATTACAGACACGTCCCTGAGCATCCGGGGGTACAGCTTCCATCTGACACAGAGAAACAGAATAAAACGTCTGCATCACTGAGGTTAGAGCTCCGAATGTCCAAGAGCAGATTTTCCTGTTATCAGAATTAAAAATGGTGAAAGCTGGAGGGGAGGAAGCAGCACAAAGCAGCAGGGTGTTGGACCTCGAGGAGAGCTTCATTGTGTGACCCAGACACATAAAGGGAGCTGCAAAAGGCACAAAGCCAAGAAGAAACAGGCTAGGAGAGATTTAAAAAAAAAAAAAAAAACAACAAAACAATGGAGGGTGAAAGGAAGCAAAGATCCTTTGAAAAGCATTGGCTGGAATTATTTAAAAGAAAAGACAGGAGCTGCAAAACAACGTTTACCGTGAATCTTAGCTTCCCTGAAAGCCCTGTGGCAGAACTAGATTACAGAGGATACACAGGACTCAGATTAGATATTAGGGAAAACTTACCCTCAGAAAGAGTAATAATGCAATGAAACAGCTCCCAGGGAGGTGGAGATGCCGCTGTCCCTGGAGGTGTTCAAGAACCATGGAGAAGTGGCACTGAAGGACATGGGTTAGCGGGCATGGTAGTGATGATGGTTGGACAAAGCGACCTTAGAAGTCTTTTCCAGCCTCAATGACTGTGAGATTCTATAACAGAAGTCACCAGTTCCCCTTTCACCTCCCTCAGTCATTCCCTTAACAGACCAGGGAGCCAAAGGACACAGAATTTTTGGATAAAAGTAGCCTGATCAGTGCTCTCACACCACCTTGTCCCTATGCTAGAGGCGTCTGCATTGAGAGCACACAGAAACAATTTGCCGTGCCTCTTCCTGCAGAAAACAGATAAGCAGGAGCATGCCGTGGCTTAGCTGTATTCAGATGAGATAATTGGGGAAATTGGCTGCACTACATTTCTACTGGCACCTTTTGCAATCCAGTAGCCCCCAGGAGACTCCATCCCCAGCAGTTACAAGCTGCTGTGTGACACATACGTCACTGAAAAGTAACTGCAGGCCCAGGGATGGCCCACAAGGAGTTGAGACTTCCAGGAAAAGACCAAATGCAGGCACTATAATTTGGTACAGAAAAAGACTCTGTAGCACAATTGCTTTCCCGAGAGAGTAAATTATAATCTACTCCTTGAATGACTTGGCCCAAACCCACTCAACTGTTCCTGACCTCGCTTTGCTTCCAGTGTATCCACCATAAACCACACCAACCCAGAGCCACAGCCATATTCTCCTTTGGGGCCTGCAGCTCAGATACAGGCAGAAGCTGACTCCAAATAAGAACTAAAAAACACCCACCTGAAATTGCAATTAGGCAGAACATCACATCACACAAAAATCTACCTTTGCCTTCTGCCACCAACTGGACAACAATTCCTCTCAGAGCATCAGCTAGACAGCACTTCAGTATCTCAAACCATCTCAATACAGATGCATTCATGGGGGGATAGCCATGAAATCAGACTTTTTCTTATCAGTGAGGTAACGTTGTAGCAAGGCATTGTTAGAATAATCCCCAAGAAGGTGTGCATCAGCACGTGCTAGCTCTCAGGGATTTGCTCCGAGCAAGGTGCAAAGGTTCTCTGCAAGCAGTAATAGGCTCACTGTCTCAATGTCTTACTGATGCACCCTTCCCTCTGGAAGGGCTTTGAGTGCAGATTATGGCAATTGAGTTTTAATTAGAAGAAAATAATTAAAAGCTTAGTCTATTGCTGAACATAACTACCTAAAATGCCTGATGGAAACAGTTCTGTCATTAGCAAGGAGATGGCAACAGGAGCCTTCGTTATCCTTAGGCTATGTTCCGTCTGTGAGTAGCAGTCAGCTTGAGCTTGCATACTAAACAGTCTGGTTGGGGTACAGGAAGAGAAGAAAAAAGGGGGAAAACAGACAACACCTTCATTTTACTGGAAGATCAAGAGAAATTTGCATAAGAAACCTGGGACAGAGTCAGGATGAGACCCAAATTTCTTAAGCCATGGAGCACGAGGCCATGCCAGTTCTCCAGAAAGCACTCTCCAGGGAGGAGAAAGATGGTTATGATGCTTGGAAGGGATGTAGTTGCAGGACTCAGCTGTAACATTTGATGCCAAGACACACACTGTAAGTATGCCTCCTTGGACTTGTTTTCATGCTATTGTGTCAGACTGTTATTTTTCAGGGGAAAATAAGCTGAGGGTGGGACAAAGAAAACATGACTTTTATCCCCCTTCTTCTTAATCCTCATTCCAAGAGCTTCTTTCTAGCACTGAGACAACTTTCCCCAGCAAATACAAAGAAAATACAAATCCTTTCATAACCTTGCTCATGTTTACAGGCCAGCTTAGAAGCATAAGGATGCAAAATGCCTTCTTCTGCAGTCTCCTAGTTCTCAGCTGCTCCTGACCCATAGGATTTTTACCTGCTGCAAATGACTGCCACTTCCAGGCACACATTTGAGTATCAGTCCTGAAGCAGCAAAATTCCTTCAGTGCTTCTAGCTCAGAGAAGCAGAAAGAGACAAAATCTTCTATTTCCCCCCAGCAGAACATACAAGACTAATGATGCTGTTCGAAGCAGCAAACACCCTCCTTTCCCACTCACTCTTAAGTGTATCAAATAATTGTCCGCCAGCTTTTTGGTGCCAGATTTGTTAAGCCCCAGCGTTTAAACAAATTTCTCTTCCGATCTCTTCTTCATTTAAAATAAACAAACAACATAAAAACAACACAGCTTTTCTCCTTGCATCTCACTAGGTTGTATGCTTTAGGCCATTAACAAATTAGTCCTCCTAACTGAGCACTGTCTGGGTCTCGCAAAAGCTGACGGGATCACCACCTTGGCATTACACTCTTTGACAGAAGCAGCATCAGATTTTGCTTAACATAATTTTTTCAGCTGCAAGTTTACCAGGCATCTGAAGCGACCTACTTTCTGGACAAACCATGGGGATATACCCTTAACAACAGTGAGCAAAAAACAAGCACAGTACTTCCCAGTGTACAAGTGTAAATCTTGCAGTTGGGCAAGACTCACTTTCCATACTCATTCTCTGCTGTGAAGAACCACTGCAATTTCCAAAATGTAACGTTTTCAAGCAACATCTCCCACTTTTCCAAATTCACAGTAAATCCCTTCAACAGTGCATCACTAGCAGAGTGCTTGGGAAAGGACACACTGCTCAGAGGAAGGCCCTGTCCCAGCCCCTACCTGCTTTGATAACCTTAACAAGAGGTTAAGGTCTCCTCCAGCTCCTAATTCCCAACTTCCCATCATAACAGACACATGCTATTGCTGCACAGGGCCAATGAACAGCTGCTTTTGCTCAAGGAACATATTTGCTCTTCTCAGATGTCTCATCATCCTATGGCAACTTTTTTCAGGGCACTCTGAATCTGAGGTGGAAGACAAGGCAGAAACCACAACAACTTATCACTAAAAGCATTCATTTCTTCTCTTCTCCCTGTGACCTGACATGCCTGTTTGATCCTAGTCAGATTTTCAGTCTCTTTATTTTTTTTAAAGGCCCGTGCCCAGTCATTTTAATACCCTTAACACCCAACTACATGATGAAGCATTTGCAGGAAATATGCATCAATGCTAACACAGATAAACAAGAAACGATGTTCCTTGTACATGACAACAAAATGCATCTTCTCCAAATGCCACTGGGAAGTCAGTGGCAGAACCTGTCACAGCAGATTATTGGAAATGTGTTCCTAAACACACGCACTTACTTTCATTAAAATGCTGAGAGATTTCAGATTGATTTCCTGAATGCCATCAAGCCAAAGGCAACTCACCCTTGTCTTGGAACGTACTCTTTATTCAGGCCCATTGGTTTCCTGACAATTTGAGAGTGAATTTAATCACCAGACAGAGCAGTGTTGGAAGGACACATGGTGTTTTGGAATGCAGAACAAACGCAAGGTGAATCAAGACAGATGCCACAGGGAGTAACGCATGCTCTCATGCCCTAAATAATTGTCCCTATCCTTAATGCCTCATTTGTGCAACTGATGTCTCCACTTCATATGAGAACTGAAAGAAAAACTGATCTGGCTCTAAGCAGGAAAATGCTGATGTTGAGATGCAAGCACTGGTTCTTCACATCAACATCAATCTCAGATAAACTGGAAGCCAGAGGAGAGTTGCTGTAATTCTCGTTAGTCTCATCTTAAGCCTTGGTCCTTTGGGGGCACTTCATACTGCAGTATCTGATTACAGGTCCAAAGTACTTCAAGCTCCTGTGCTGTCGAGAGGACAGGACATTTGATTTTATCAGCAAATGGATATGACCTGCATTGTTCCAAAAATGGCACGAGCCGTTCCAAAGGTATTGCATTATCTATCGACACAACCATTCATTCGCTACATTGCTCCAGAATGACAATCTATTTCTCTTGTAAGTGCAACCATTACACTGCCAAAAAATTAAGAGCTCAAAATTAACAGATATTTTTTCTATATGCCAGCCAACTAAATAACCTTGCAGTGCACACCACAAAGGTCTGGGCTACAAAATTCACACTATGGGTTCTATTTTATTCTTTTTTCTTTTTCATTTAAATACAAACATTTATACATATAAATATTCAAAGACATTCTAAACATATCTAATTGGGGTGAACCCTATGTTCTGAAAAAGCACACGATTAAGCTTTTGACTGGAGAAACCAATGAGTTGTCTGATCATTGATAGCAAAGCTCTACATATGCACTTCTTTCACAAAGTTGTCTGACTTAGTGATTGTTGTGGGTGTAAAGTCCATCTTGCTTAATACTTACCCATCAGCTGCTCTCAGGAATAGGGAGATAATGAATAACACACTCAAAAACACAAAGACTGAGATTCAAGGACTAACCCCACAACAGCAGTCCCACATTCTTGCCATGGTTAGGACATGCCCCTCTCAACATCACCATGATAACAATAAAGGTTTTTTGAAGTTGCTTATGCCAAAGTTAAGTCCTAAAACACAGAATAATCACAAATCCATATACAAGGTTTGCCTTTCTAGATACGCTGCCAGGAAGCCATCAGACACTCGGAAACCAGTTTTATAACAGTTCCCATCACTTACAATATTTCATGGTTAAGTGCTGACCACGGCTGAAATCTGAATGCAGCTCAGGCACACAGAACTGAGCACTGGCCTTCACACCTTGCTCCTGAGCGCACTGCTAGGATGCGCAGCTCCAGTTCAGCAATACTGCACAGACATTTGGGGGGGAGGCCACTAAATTACTAAATTACTACAGTAATTCAATTTAGGAGGAACAGATCAGTCAAAAGTGACTTGGGACCTAAAAGATACAGCAAAACAAGAAATCTTTTGTCTGTACGACAGCTTAAAATATAGAAGCAACAACAATCAACTTTTACTAAATATTTTTCCCACCCAGAAATTTTGCTTCCCTAAACAAACAAAATGCAGGTAAAGCTAAAAGCATGCTAATGAATCTTAGGGAGTGCTCTGATGGAAAATTGTAGCTGGGGGAAAGAAAGGGAGGAACGGATGTTCTGAGAAGGATTTCATTGAGTTTTCTTCCTAAAATTTATAGAAGTTTCAGAAAATATAAGTTTTGTTAGCACAAAATCTAACGTTGTACCACATCTACTAATAATGCAAACAGATACACACACACTCTACAACCTTAAATCATTCTCCTACCTTGAAAATGCTGCTACGTTATCTGCTAATGTTTCTTGGTCATCTGCTCCAGATCGGTAATAATCATAAACTGATTTGGGGAGAAATGTTTTAGCATAATGTTCAAAATCAGCAACACAAACTGGCTTTCCAGACATGTCTGCAGATCTCACAGGATAAGTTTATTCCCTCTTACCTCTCTTTTAAACTCTGTATTTCTGTCTGTAAATCATTAATATGGGATTTCATCAAGATTTGACTTTCTTATCTGCACACAAAAAATATACACCAACTTCTTGTGTCACCCTGGACTTCAATACCATGCTTCATTTCACGTGGTCAAAGCAAATATAGAATATACTGGAATACAATATGGCGAAAAAGAACAGAAGTGAATAATCAAAGAAATATACGGGTGTGATATGTATGACTTAGACCTTAAGTAAGGGATGTACCATTCCAATTTTCCACCAAAAAATACCCTGGTGACAGAGAAAAAAGGTATCACAGAAATCCAAAAAGCGAAGTTCTGCTTTAATTGACTTAGGAATGCGGGTCCAGGCCTGGACTGGCGTTTATAACCCTTAAGACCTTTGCCAGTTATTTATATTGAAACTGTGGATTTGGAATCAAGTTGCAGGGACACAGCTGCCAACCAGCTAGGACAGCTACTGCATCCTCATGCAAACGGCAACTGCTTTTTAATGTAATTCCACCTCCATAGCCCAGAAAGCTGTAGTTATTCTTAGAACATTATGAAGTCAGGTACTTACCGGCTCAAAATAAAGTTATCTCACCACGAGCTCATACTCAACCAAAAAGTAACAGATCAAGGTTTCTTGATTTAACAAATACACACACATACTTCATTTGCAACAGGTGTACAGTAGTTGTTTGACAGGGAGAATTTACAGTGGGTCATAAGTACATGTAATGCAGCTTTGCACTCTTCATTCTTTTTTTTTCCTTTTTCTTTTTTTTTTAAATAAGATTTTTGGAGAGAACAGACAAATCAATCCCTTAAATGGAAACATTCTGCAATGCACACTGTAAGACGTGACAGAACTTGGTGTGCACTGCAGTCACCCCAGCCCAGCCCAGCACACACCTCTGTCACCATGCACAGTGCAAACCAACCAGGGGGCTGCCATTTGTTCATCATTAGTTACTTACAGTGCAACACAACAAAGAAATGCAGTGCAACAGAAGTACATCTGCAGCTTACTTCCTCCAACAACACGTGGCTTTAAGTGACTTGATGTTAGCTAAATCTTCAGTCTTGCTGAAGGCATCTAGTTAAACACAGACAAACCTCTGCTAAACCACAACCTTCATCTCTGCTGCTGGTTTATAAATAACAGGTAGGAACACAGTATTCTGCAAAGACTGAGAGAAGTGCTTAAGGTTCAGATGAGACTGCCAAGCATCTTTGGGGGAATATTTCAGGGACTGCAGCAGGATGGCGCCAACTGGGCGGTCAGGTTCAAGAACTGTCTAAAGAAAACAAGGCTGTCGCCTAAGAAATTTGCAGCCATTTCAAAATGCTTCTGCAGATCTCAGGGCCTCTTGGCTTAAAACGTTCAGGGTGTGTAGGGGGTTCTTTTTCCCAGCCACTTAGAATATTCATGGAAGAAATTAGTGTGAATGATTGTCAATATGCATAGTCACATCATCAGGCATTCATCACACATCCACAACGAATACAATTTAAATGCAAACTGGCTTACATTGACATTTGTCTGTGCTCCCAGCACAAAACCTGGGGATATGTCTGCCTTTCTTACAGTCTGCATTATCTGTGCTGAAAATCAGGTATTTGTTTTAGAGCCTAAAACCTTAAGCACTGCACAATAGTTAAATGTATTAATACATTGCTGAATCCAGTTGCACACAATCATGTTGGAAGTATGCACAAGAACTACGGATCAGACCTACACCATTTTGCTCTTGATCTTCCCCCTACACTTTTCCATCTACTTCAAAACGAGTTGAGCTCTTCGTAACACTTCCCACATCAATCTTTCTCTCCATTCATGTTGATACGCCATCTTCACATGACTTTACCGGTCATTATTTACCAATCATGCTAAAAGTTCCTCTTCCCTCCCTTATCATTAAGTTGCTCACATATCATGCCTTATGGATCCCCCAGGAAAATGCCAAGCATGCTGAAGCACTGTGACTTCTTGCTGCAGCCCAGACAGCACGCCCTGGGAAGCTACAGCCCTCGGCACACCAGGAACCAGGGATGCTTCTGCTCCAACAGACAGCTCTTCCTGCTGCTGGCCAGTTCATGAGTTGAAGTGTGGAGGAAATTGCTAATATCACTACAAAAGAAAAATTATGCTAAAAGCTTAATCTGCTGCTAAGTTGCAAGCATAGCCTCTTTCTCACAGCACGAACATAATCTGTTAAGACAGCACTGCAAATATCTCTCCAGCATATCTGACAGCAATGTACAGACCAGCTTTGACAAAGCCTCCTTCCAAGCAATTGACTCATTTAATGCATCTATCTGGTTTACTGCCTCTTAAAATGAGGAATGTCCTCTGTCTGTTTAATGACACATCAGCTGTCTTAACCTGAACCTCGGAGCAAAAGAGGTAACAGCAAGGAGTTTGCCAAGGTAATCAAGGCAAAGATCCCTGGTAAAAGCCAACGTGCAAGTGAAATGCTCAGATGTGATTTTATTTCCCCTCTGACCTAACCATGACCAGTGTGGCAGTAACAGCCTCTCCCATATCTACTGTTTTCTCATGTGTTCCCTTCACAGGTCACTAGAGAATTACTAAGGGAAAATAGCATCATGCACTCTGCCAGAACCTCTATTCCCTCAAGTTAATTATATCCACCTATCTATCACAAACTCAGGAAGGAAGACCCACAGAGGGCTGCAAAAGATAAAGATATGACTTAGAAGCCAAACAAGTGTTTTACAAATATTGCTACACATCAGTGTTTACGTGTTGTATTTGACAAACAGAAGAACAGAACAACATGAAATTTTAGCTAGAATCGCTGTATTCCTATTGCAGGATTGGAGAAACAACATTGGTTATCTCTTGTGAAGCAGCAACAAGTCCGCTGAGAAAGAATGAGTCAACTGGGATTTTCTCTCTTCACAAAAGTTGAACGGGAAAAGTTAACTGCAGTATATAATTAAGCTATTTCAAGGTACCAGAGACTACTGAAGTGTTTCTCATGAGCGCTGTGGAAAGCTGTTTTATCAAGTAACTTTTTACATAATTAAAAGGCTGTTCTGACTTTCAAATTCCCCATGAACATTCCTGAATTTTCTCCAAACAAAAGCAGAAAGCATGTCTTGATGGACTTGGACGATGCCGCATGAATGGTTTTCAGTATCTCCTCAATCACAGCTGAAGGAGCTGATCTTGGCCCCTCCAAGTCACTCACAAGATGCAACAGAAAATATTTCTCTCCAGCAATTTGTGACTTCAGCATGAGACTGAACCAAAGGCAGGGGATGTAGTGCATGAATGAGGACAGTTTCTTGCCATTTGGCATAGCAGCAGGCAAGTGGCCCTGGAGAGCCCCAGGGAACATCTGCTTTGTGAAGTCACTTGGGAAGTCCAGGACTACTGGAGTGGAAGGAATCTGGAGCATCAATTACACAAACAGTTCTCCTTGGAGGAACTATAAAAGTGGGTACTAAGAAAACAATCCTGTGGAGATGTACAAAAAGGTGTGCAGCACCAATTTCGGCCTTGCAGCTGCACAGCAAAATCCACAGTTCTGAGAAACCCTCACAGGGCTGGAGGGGTGGCTTTCAACCATGTTGTGTAAAACTCACAGGCTTGACCAAAGAATCATAGAATCACAGAACTGTAGGGGTTGAAGGGACCTCTAGAGATCATCTAGTCCAAGCCCTATGTCAAACCAGGTTCCCTACAGCAGGCTGCACAGGTAGGCATCCAGATGGGTCTTGAACATCTCCAGAGAAGGAAAGTCCACAACAGCCCTGGGAAACCTGTTTCAGTGCTCCATCACCCTCACTGTGAAGAAGTTCTTACATTTGTGCAGAACATCCTATGCTCCAATTTATGGCCACTTCCCTTGGCACAGAGCTTGTGCTCTATGCAATACAGGGAGGGACAAATCTAAACCTTGAATTAGACACCAGTATTATTAGACACCACTAAATCAGACACTTGACCTTCCATCACTTTGACTTCTATTGTGCATCTTGCACAGCAAAGCTCAGTATGGGCTATAAAGACCTCCTGTCAGCCAGAAACTCAGTACACCAAACTAAGTCATTTACTACCCAGGCATGAATCATGGACCAGACTTCTTAATTTACATCTTACATTTCCAAATTGGATAACAGGCAGCTGAGAAGAGTTGCAAAAGCATCACAAAGGATGCTTCCTCCAGGGCAGCTCTTTGCAGCCAAATGCACAGGTGTTCAATGAATGTGTATGCTTTGTGTGGGGGGTATTTAATGCTTGGGAAAGGGAGGAAACCCATTTCCTTCCCACTGGCATACTGCAGCCAAGAGACCACCCGCAAAGACACTGGCTGCAGCCATCCAGCTTTTCATTTTGAATGTGTGCTCAGCCCCTCAAAAGAAAAATGTACTACTCAACATCACTACTTCCAGACTTGGGAGCCGACCCAATTCGGTGTTGTTCACTGGCTGCAAAGAATGGGAGGCTGACAAGTCAAAAAGTCAAGACTGCTGCAGTTGTGCTATAAGGAAGCTAGCACCACGTTTCCTCTATAGAAACAGAGCTTAAAAGTAATTTTCAGAACTTGACTGGATTTTCACCTGTAGTATTGCACCTGTTCATTTTCATAGGGACAATTTCAAACTCTCACATAATGAGACAGGAGCAGCTAATTTAGTAGAAAACAAAGTAAACCTTTGTTTGAAACCACTCCCCTTAGAATTCACATCAAGAAATCGATACAGTGGCAAATAAAGAGAGACCTGCACATCACCCAACCCGTGCAGCAATTCCACTCCATGTTGAAAGGCAGTTCAGGAAACTCAACGTCTTGATAATGAACTTGAGTGCATACTGGATCTTGTAGCTGTTCACATCAACACATACACTGACACGATTCCTGGCAGTCACAAAACACCACTTCTGCCTCCAGCATGCCGGCCTTGAGGCCTATTTCTTCAGCAATGGCTGCTCCCTGTGAGCTCTGGAAAGAGGAACCATTTAG